CATGCATAGTGAAACTTGATTTCCCCGACTTTTGAAACAACGATCGGGATAACAGTTCATCAAAATATTCCTTAGCTACCTCTTCCATTCTTTCCCCATTCTCAGCTTCGGGAATTATACCTTCTCCCATCCAAAGAAAAACTACATCTTCTATGTTGAATTCATAGTCTTTTGGAAAAATTGAGCAATAAACAAAGCAGCGTTTTAATGTAGCAGGAAGATAATGGTAACTCAATCCTAGAGCGGGAAGAATATCACTTTTTTCGTAAGGTAACTCCCAAATGCTGCTATTTAATACTCTATTCCATACCTCAGAGTCTTTCTTGCAACGTAACACACCACCAAGTGTCTGTGCAGCTAAAGGCAACCCATTGCACTTGCGTGCAATTTGCTTGCCAATTTCTTCCAAGTTTTGATACGCACTATAATTTTCATTTCCAAATGCGTGTTTTGCAAGTAGCAACCAGCAATCTTCATGCGACAATGGTTTCAAGAGATGAAAAGGAACATTTTGCATGAAAGATGCTATACTTTGGTTCCGTGTTGTTACGATGACTTTACTTCCCCTTGCCCCTGAAGTAAAAGGAGTTTGGAGGCACTTCCAATCACTATATTTCTCATTCCATAGGTCATCCAACACAAATAAAAATTTTCTTCCTTTCAGTTGTTCTCTTAATTCAACTTGAAGCAAATTGAGGTCTGTCATATTACAAGGTTTTGAAGTGACAGACTCAAGAAGAGTTTTAGTTACCCTAATAGCATCATAGTCTTCTGAAACACAAGCCCAAGCTTTAAGTGTAAAATGTTCTTTCACCTTATGGTCATTGTAAAGCATTCGAGCAAGGGTTGTCTTGCCAACCCCGCCCATTCCAACAAGGGAGATGACAGATACATCATCGTTGCTTGCATCATCCGATAACAATACTTTTGATAAATAATCTTTATCTTCGTCTCTACCATATACGCAAGGTTCATGAACCAAGGAAGTTGTTGGAGTTCTTTGTGAAACCTTCCTCCCAACATCTTCCCTCAGACCAAGAGCAGTTTTCAGTTGTACAAAGTCTTCTAATCTTTCTAACAACTCTTGTATCTTAACATTCATGCTCTGATAAAAATGATTATGAAATTTGGGGAGGAAGTTCCACACCTTATTGGTTAATTTGTGGGTTTGATCTTTGCCTTCGAGCTTGCATCGTAAAGCTTCATATTTGATCTCATCCAGTAAGTCCTCCGCATCAAAGACAGCATGTTTGAGCTCGTCAAGCCACTCTCTTACAGCTGGGTTCTCAATCTGCTTCTTCTCTGCATCATTGAGCACTACGTACAAGGTGAACAGTGTCATCTTCAGTTTCATGAGGAGTGGTTGATCGAGTTTCTTCTGTCGAAATAAGTCGATGAACTCAGGTGAAGTGATTCTTTCACACAACACCTGGATGGAAGCAGAGATAAAAGCCTCTCCGATCAAAGCTCCAGCCATTTCTCTCTGCTCTGCAAATGATTTGGATGAAGTAAAGAAACACAGGTCTGGAAAAGCTTTTTGTGAAATACAGATATGGTTGAAAACAAAGAAACACCTGGATGGTATTATTGTTTTTTATATATGTTTATTTCAATATGTGTTAGTATATTTACATATTCTACTAATTCGTACAACACAATAAGACTTTTTGGTTGACTTGAAATGGAATTAGGTAGGACTTTTTATATTTTTATATTTATTTATTTTTCCAGCTTCTCCTCCAGACTTCGAATCTGCTTCAAAACGACCGGTCGCAAATACCCAGCGACCGGTCGCCTCCTCCTTCACTTGCATACTAAATGTGAGCCATTTTTCCAACAGTAGGTAGCTGACATCTTACTAAAGAAGACGACAGGGGACTACTTGTTTCATGCTTGTCAGGGGACTACTTGTTTAACCCACCATGTCTTTTTGTTAAGCATCGAATCTTCTGATAGGCGCTTCAGCTACAAGACTTGGTAATCTCTAATGATGGATCCCTTCGCACTGCAATATACCATGAAATTTTAGGGTCTCTTTAAGTCTGTTCATGACATGGTAAATAATGAGGCACGCGCATGTTGGAAAATTTGTAGATTTGATGTTTATATTGGACGGGACATTGCTTGATGCTAGAGTGGAAATAACTATTTTTCTACTTCAGACGGTATAAGGCAGATGTTGAAATGATGATGGAATGACTTAGTGCCTCTTTGACTTTTCTATGTTTTTCTTTTGTTGAGCGGTTGTCGACGGCCGTATTAAAAGACCACAGGATGAAGACATACAATCCAATGTCCTTGAAATAATTGGTACAAACATCCAGTCGACATACATTCTTTCCCAGCAGACCCATCAGCTACACTTGGTATAAAACTTCCATTCCTGGTTATGATTGTAAAGAATCTGAAGAAGTATTTCACATTTGAGATTCAAGTTTGCCCATGTTTATTGATGTTTATCAATTGCATAATGGTTGTTTTTCTTGTTCTCTTTTATTTTGCTGTCCGTTGGTATTTCAGGGAATGTTCTGGTAGGTAATATGTTTTTCTCAAAGATGTATCTATTTCACTGGCAAGTCTAAGCTTCTTTTGTTGTATTTGAAGATCTATGTAGTGTAAAATTGGTCATATTTCATGCCAACTTATTTGGAAGTTTCTCCAGCTGCATTATGAACATATTAACTATGCCTGATGTGTTGGATTTGTTGGAGATGTATATACTTGAGGTGAAAATCATGTACCAAGGTTAAGTCCAAGGTTGTAGAGGAATCTGGCTTCTAGATATGCCATTGGCAGCTTCATGAATCAGGAGAAAAAAAATTCATTGATGTTGACCTCAGATTGCCTACTATTTTGAGTCGAGCAGTGCAGGATGCAAAACTCATTGACCACTCAAGTAGATTGTTGCTTAATGATTCATAGATTAGTATATTGTTATTCTGTCTTCTGGGTTTTATCAGTGAACTCATAGGAGTTTTGTGAAATCAACTAACCTTTACTGAACTTTAATTACTATCATCTTTTATGGGCACTATTGTTTAAATGCCATGTACCTGATCCTGATGACTTTATGTTTGAAGTGTTGATGTTTTGACTGCTAAAGAATACTGGTATTTGAAGTGATCGTACTGCTGTAGAAGTATCAAAGTGATAAAAGATACAAGGGTTTATTTATTTATTTATGTGTTGTAGGCTGTAACTCGAGTGAAGCCATACATCTGCACCATGCCACTGAGGATGGATGAGGGCTGGAATCAAATCCAGTTTAATCTATCCGATTTTACCAGGAGAGCCTATGGAACAAACTATGTGGAGACATTGCGAGTTCAGGTTCATGCGAATTGCCGCCTGAGGAGGATATATTTCTCTGACCGCTTGTACTCCAAAGAGGAACTTCCGCCTGAGTTTAAGTTGTACCTTCCAATGCAGGTAAAGATAGATCTATTCTCTTAACGAAAACAATTATGCTTCTGTACCTTCTCGTTTCGTGTCCATTCACTCACATGCTAATAATGTATTTGCTGCACAGAAAGCATGACATGAAGCAACAAAGGAGGGATCAAACCCATTGGAGCTGGATTTTGAGTGTTCAGATGGCAATCTTTGCTAGTGCCAGTTTTATATAAATTAGAAAGAAAAAATAACACCATCAGTTGTACTAGGGCATGTTTGTATGTCTGTCATACATAGTAAAAATATTTACGAACTCTATTTGTGGAGACTGGAGAGCTAGTGTCGGGATCAGAAAGTGTCTAAGCATGAAGTAGAACTAAACACAATATTTGTTCAATTAATCCTTCCAGTATATCTTTCCCTTAATCCCCCCCCTTCCTGCATATCTTCCCCCCACCCCCAATCTGCAATTATGGTGATTGTTGATTGCTTAGCAGAAACTGGACTTCTGCTGCGGTTAAATGATGCATTTCTCTGACAATGTCAAATTTTAGGAGTTTAGTTTCTATGATCTTTCAAATGTTTGTCCGAAAAACCAAAAAATTTCAAAAATGTGTTTGGCTGGCTGTCAGTTTTGACACAAATTCATGTACACTGAGTGTTTTGACACAAGCAATTATCTGTTGTTCTCAGACATGACATCTCCTTTTCATCAAAATACTCTCTTACATTTGCAAACAATAAATTTGGCTCATTTGGGTTTCTTTCAACCAGAAGTAATGCCTCTCAATCACTTTCTCAGGGCAGCTTTCAGAACAATGATCAAATGGGCTCGAACAAGAAATAACATCCATTTCACCATTAAACATCCCTGTCTCAACCCGAGCTTTGCTCCCGGAAATCAAGAACCAGGCTAGAAAAACAGGTTAACTGATTCTAATTGATTTTGTTTCGAAAGAAAAAAAAGGAAAGTTAGAAACATACAAGGGTACAGCGACAGAAGACAAGGTGTAGCTAACATACATGCAGTCCCTGGCAAAGTCCGAAGATTAATTAATGGCAACAAATGTGCACTGCAACAATATGAATGATAAATATCATGCTCAAATCTTCAAGAAGAGAATAACAATAATATAGTGTTAGTTTTATCTTACAACTTAAGCTCACAGGTTATCTATCGGCATTGATCCTTCAATTTAAACTGGATCATACAATTTAATAATGTTGTACTCTTCCCAGCTTCTGACAGAACAGAGAACTATCGTCTGCCACGAATCTGAGCCTCAGACACCAACGAATTACTATGTTTGAAAGAGAAGTGAGGTATTTATCAGTCCTTGTCCTGGCAGGGATTGAAGACAAGGACACCATTCAATTTGTAGGTAACACATTAACAACAGGGCTACACCAGAAGATAAAGACTACAACAGAAGTCCACTTGAAATGGTAAAAAATTCACTACTTGCACCCTATAACTCTGCCATTTGATGCAAGGAGTAACTGGATGTATAGGATCAGTTCTGACTTGTGGAATCACAAATGGATATGCATTTACATGGTTCCTGTTAAATTATGGCCAGTACAAAGTCCAGGAAAACACAGAAACTGCCCATGCCAAACAACTTGAAGTACAAAGAATATTACAAAGAAGGTTCAAGCTCCAATTTAGGTTGGCTTCCAAGTCAACAAAGATGTTTAATCAGTTGATAGAATCCACACAAAAATTTGCTGAGATAGAATCTGAATTCCTCCACAGACAAGAGATTGTTGGAGCTTCCTTCACGTTAGACCTAATACACGATATAAATTTTATTAGCTAAGGTGCTCAAAAGTATTACTGAAAGGCCATGCAGAGTTTAAGACCACTCCATATCGCAATTTCAGAACTTGGACTTAAACAATTTACCCTTCAACTCTCAAAGTCTAATATCAACAAACAGCAGCAGGGTTTAGAGGCCCCCAACATTGATATATGCCCATAAAACAAGACAGAATTCAAAGAACGGTATGGCCAAACTCTTGCATAAAAGTACTAAAAGGAAACCATTATTCCAACTGCTAACGGTACGGTCAAGTCTACTTCTTCTAATAGCTATTCAATATGGATGTTAACTCGAGTGCTTTGCCACCTTTCCCATGGATACCACAGCTCAACAAGATACTCCTAAATGCATAGATGTTATCTGATAGATTGATCTCAGAAAATGAGCACATTAATTCTGATGGCTTCAATTAAATTGAATTATCGCAGCTTCGCAAAATGAAATTACCTCTAACAAGTCGTAATCCAATTATTATACAAGATAAGCAGGGAACAGTGACAAGAGACCTTGATATGCAAGCTACATAAAGGGCTTAGAGCGAAAGGGGGCTGAAAGATGTACATTCGGTTATCAAATGTGAAAATGAAACACAAGATCTTCTGTATAATTCCTCATTGATTGACATTAAGATCATCAATCATCAAATATGATCTCTCTCTCTGTGCCCCTCTCTCTCTGATAAATCCTCTAAGTCTCCCAGTTCTTGTACAAATATGACAATGGTAAAAACAAAAACAAAATACAAATGTGAGAGTGAAAGAATGAAATATGAGGGGACAGAGGTGATGTTACATACCTGACTCAGACCTGAGAGTGAAATGCCAAATAGCAAAAACGCGGTGTGAGAGAGAGCTCATATCATATGATGACTTCATCATTTATCCGGAGGCAAGGAATGTGAGATATCTTGGCCCAATCTTCTCCCGTCTTACTTTCATACCTTTACTCCAGGGCAAACAATTGGAGATGCTCAGAAAAGAAAGAGTCTTCTGGCAGGAATTGGAGACTCAAACAGCCATAAATATATATATCAGTTGAAGAGAAGTGAGGTGTCGAAGTCCCTCTCCTTGCAGGCATTCCAAACTGTCACATCGGAGAATATGCAGTGCTTGAAGAGAAGTGAGCTGTCCGAGTTCCTTTTTGGTGGCAAACCCCCTTCTGCCAATGACACAAGATTTGGAAGACAAGGTATCAGTAAACGTCTAAGGGCAGTGCGCATATGGTGTGGTAATGACTTCAAATTCTCGCATCCCCTGACTCTAAAGTCATTAGAGTCATTCAAAAAATTGTCAGTTGCCGCAAAATAATGTGTGATGTAGGGGATAAGGATAAGGCATAAGACTTAACAAAGAAAAGGAGAGAGATGATAAACAAACTTAAACAAGGTTAATTCCCTAAGAAAATTTTGTAATTGCTGAATGATCTCTCTCCTCAACCAAAGACCACCGGTTGAAACTAAGACAATATACATTAGTAAGGATACAGCGTTTATAACATACATGCAGTACCTGGGAAATTCCAATGATAAATTAATGGCATGAACCTATTAAAATTCCCAATGAATGTGCCCCTCTGGCACTGGAACAATATGAATGCTAAATATCATGCTCACATCTTCAAAAAGATGACAACAATAATATATTGCCGGTTTTTTCTTACAACTTATGCTCACAGGTTATCCATAGACATTGAATACATTTTTATTATGAAAGACTACCTAAAAATGTGGGACATTTGATGCCTGTCTGTAGGAATGTGTCAATCCAGATATTCCAGGTGAACCTTTCCATCTCCCCTCGTTGTGACAATTGTTTTTGTAGAAAAACAAAAGTCTATATACAATGGTGCTACCCTGGTAATGAGACGTCAAGAAACCTTGCAAATGAAAAGCTTTCCAAGAGAAGGTGCTGTCCTGCAAAAAGAAAGAGTATTAATTATTCAGCATTTGAGACTTAAATAGGATATAAGTTGTGATCAGCAGAACAACGCCAATGAGAAATAGAGTAAATAGAAGGGGAGAATTTACTGAGCAAAATAATATTAGAAATCAGATTGAGTTTTTGTATGTTTTTGTGGAAAATGATTTTGATCAGAAAATAGCATGAGACCTTTCGATGAGAAAATAGCATGAGACCAGTGAGCAACAGTGACAATGTAATTGACAGAAAGCTGTGATTATAAGAAATGCATTATTAATTTGTGAATTTCGGTTTTTGTATTGAATTAGAAGAAAACCAGTTAAAGCATGTACCTGGCCTGAGTTTGATTTGAGAGTTGAGAGAGTGAGGTCATATCATATAATGAGTTGGCCATTTATCTCGATGCAAGGAATGTGATCAGATATGCTGGCCCAATGATCTCGCCCTGTCTTATTCTGATACCTTTTCTCCAGGCCAGAACATTTTTCGATGCCCAGACGAGAAAGAGATGGCGGCAGACCCTCTTCTGGCAGGAATTGGATACTGTCACACCCACTAATAAATAGTTGTTGAAGAGAAGTGAGGTGTTGAAGTGCCTCTTCTGGCAGGAATTCCAGACTTCCACACCGACCAATAGATAGACTTCGAAGAGAAGTAAGGTGTATAAGTCCCTTTCCATCCAAAGATTTCAGACTTGAAAGTGCCTCGATCCAGAGACTGCGAAGACTGGTAGGGAGCAGCTGTTGCTTGAGCAACGTCTCCAAGATATCGTCGCTTCCCCTGCCAGCAATTCTAAATGATTCAAGGCCCACAAGTCCTCGCAAATTCCAGTACTCTCCCACTGAAGCCCTCAGTCTCCCACAATTAATAATTTTCAAGGATCGGAGGTTGGGAGGCAAACCCCCATCTTCTGCTAATGACTCCAGATTTGGAAGATCCCTTATCGCCAAATGTTCAAGGGCTGTGAGGGTGTGGATGTGTTCAGGTAATGACTTCAACTTGTCGCATATAAGGACCATAAAGAAATTCAAGTTGGGAGCGGGTAATCCTCCCTGGGGAAAACACACCAGATTTGGACAGCGTGAGATACACAAGTAATTGAGATGACTGAGATTCACATCAACTCCATCCTCTCCAATGAAGGAAAGGGATTCCAGATTCTCAGAATTCCTAATGTTAAGCCTCGTCAATTTAGGAAAAATGCCCAACGGGAAGGACCTCATTGAATCACAGCTCTTCTCTATCCCCAAAGAGTCGAGCGATGTTAATTTGGCCAACATCTCATGAGGTAGGAATTCTAATCTCCTACAGTTGTATATATACAGTGATGTCAACGTAGTGGGTAGGCCATCTTTAGGAAACGACGACAGGGTTGAACAATTCGAGAGACTCAAACTTTGAAGATGATTGATGTTGGGCAAGCAATGTATGTCATCAACATTTCGAATCAGAAGTTGGGACATGAACTTTTTATCTGATAATGATAACAAACTTTTGTGGCATCCATCTTCGATGTCCAGTTCTTTAAGAGATGTGCAGGAGTCCATGTTAAGACTAGTGGCCCTTTGATCATGTAAAAGTAAAACCCCACACCCTTTCAAGCGAAGCTTCTTCAAGCAAGGCAAATCACAAGATAAAGGCAAGCTTCTTGTCAGTTTTGGACACTCCTTTAGAATCAGCTCCTGCAGACGAGGAAAGTCTGGACCTCCACTTCCACTTGATACCCATTCCTCCCACTCTGGCATCCCATGAAACTGCAGCTTCTCCAGAGATTGAAATGGCTGAATTAGAGAAGATCCAGTGCTGCCATAAAACTCAACACCAATCGTCTGAACACATTTCATCCTTTCTACACGAAGCTCTTTGAGAGCAGGTAGCCCCCCAACTGATGGTAGCGACCAACAATTACTACAGTCAATGAGATGCATGAATTGTATGTTAGAGCATGAACTTTTTATCTGATAATGATAACAAACTTTTGTGGCATCCATCTTCGATGTCCAGTTCTTTAAGAGATGTGCAGGAGTCCATGTTAAGACTAGTGGCCCTTTGATCATGTAAAAGTAAAACCCCACACCCTTTCAAGCGAAGCTTCTTCAAGCAAGGCAAATCACAAGATAAAGGCAAGCTTCTTGTCAGTTTTGGACACTCCTTTAGAATCAGCTCCTGCAGACGAGGAAAGTCTGGACCTCCACTTCCACTTGATACCCATTCCTCCCACTCTGGCATCCCATGAAACTGCAGCTTCTCCAGAGATTGAAATGGCTGAATTAGAGAAGATCCAGTGTTGCCATAAAACTCAACACCAATCGTCTGAACACATTTCATCCTTTCTACACGAAGCTCTTTGAGAGCAGGTAGCCCCCCAACTGATGGCAGCGACCAACAATTACTACAGTCAATGAGATGCATGAACTGTATGTTAGAAAAGGACAAGTCTCCTAACCAATTCGGGAAGTTGGTTCCACCATAGAATCTGATGGTTAGTTCCTCCAAATTCACGCAAGGTTGGAGATTGTCAAATACATCTTTCTCCTTTTGAGAATCATCGGCATCCTCTGCACCCCATGCCAACTCTAACACTTTGAGAGCTTTCTTATCCTTCAAATTGGCTTGCAAGGCTTCCCTAGCATCAACCACATTTTGCAGCTTCTGAATTGAAAGTTTTCCTCGAAGATGCGATAGCTCCATCAATTCTCCAATAGTCGACCCAGCAGATTTCCCCACAACAAAAGCACTCAATGTTCTCAAACTTTTTAGTCTACCCATTTGCACCGGTATTTCTTCAATTTCAGTTCTACTAAAGTCAAGATGCCTCAAGTTAACCAATTTTCTCATGTCTGCAGGCAATTTAGTAAGAGACTTACAATTTGTCAACATTAATTTCTGTAAATTTATCAATTTTGTCATATCTGTAGGCAGTTCAACGAGAGACAAACAATGTGACAATAGTAACGTTTGCAAATTGCAAAGATTGCAAAGAACACCAGGTAACCTTTTAATTGAAGTATAGGAGAGATCCAAGTACCGCAAGTGAATGAGATTTTCAATGGAATTAGGTAATACATTGACATTCTTATAAAGTGACAATGATAACACACGTAAACGTCTTAGTGATGGCACCAAATCTTGTAGAACCTGTTTACTTAGATAACCCTTTTTTGAATTTAAAGGGGTAGGCAAGAAGGTCCGCAAACACTTAGCCCCATTCAATGGCTTAAATTTAAGAGCAACATCAAATTCTTCCTTAGCATATGATAAATGGCGAACTCTTTCTACTTCAAGTGATTCCCACCCTTCCAACCTGGAACAAAACCCCTTAGACATGAAAACAGCCAAGTCATTGATGAGATCATGCATAGTGAAACTTGATTTCCCCGACTTTTGAAACAACGATCGGGATAACAATTCATCAAAATATTCCTTCGCTGCGTTTTCCATTCTTTCCCCATTCTCAGCTTGGGGAATTAAACATTCTCCCATCCAAAGAAAAACCACATCTTCTAGCTTGAATTCATAGTCTTTTGGAAAAATTGAACAATAAACAAAGCAGTGTTTTAACTTAGCAGGAAGATAATGGTAACTCAATTCTAAAGCGGGAAGAATATCACTTTTTTCATAAGGTAACTCCCAAATGCTGCTATTTAATACTCTATTCCATACCTCCGAGTCTAGTTTGGAACGTAACACACCGCCAAGTGTTTGTGCAGCTAGAGGCAACCCATTGCACTTGCGTGCAATTTGCTTGCCAATTTCTTCCAAGTTTGGATGTGCACTACAATTTTCATTTCCAAATGCATGTTTTGCAAGTAACAGCCAGCAATTTTCATGCGACAATGGTTCTAGGTACTGAATAGGAACATTTTGCATGACAGATGCTACATTTTTGTTTCGAGTTGTTACGATGACTTTACTTCCCCTTGCCCCTGAAGTAAAAATTGAGATGACTGAGATTCACATCAACTCCATCCTCTCCAATGAAGGAAAGGGATTCCAGATTCTCAGAATTCCTAATGTTAAGCCTCGTCAATTTAGGAAAAATGCCCAACGGGAAGGACCTCATTGAATCACAGCTCTTCTCTATCCCCAAAGAGTCGAGCGATGTTAATTTGGCCAACATCTCATGAGGTAGGAATTCTAATCTCCTACAGTTGTATATATACAGTGATGTCAACGTAGTGGGTAGGCCATCTTTAGGAAACGACGACAGGGTTGAACAATTCGAGAGACTCAAACTTTGAAGATGATTGATGTTGGGCAAGCAATGTATGTCATCAACATTTCGAATCAGAAGTTGGGACATGAACTTTTTATCTGATAATGATAACAAACTTTTGTGGCATCCATCTTCGATGTCCAGTTCTTTAAGAGATGTGCAGGAGTCCATGTTAAGACTAGTGGCCCTTTGATCATGTAAAAGTAAAACCCCACACCCTTTCAAGCGAAGCTTCTTCAAGCAAGGCAAATCACAAGATAAAGGCAAGCTTCTTGTCAGTTTTGGACACTCCTTTAGAATCAGCTCCTGCAGACGAGGAAAGTCTGGACCTCCACTTCCACTTGATACCCATTCCTCCCACTCTGGCATCCCATGAAACTGCAGCTTCTCCAGAGATTGAAATGGCTGAATTAGAGAAGATCCAGTGCTGCCATAAAACTCAACACCAATCGTCTGAACACATTTCATCCTTTCTACACGAAGCTCTTTGAGAGCAGGTAGCCCCCCAACTGATGGTAGCGACCAACAATTACTACAGTCAATGAGATGCATGAACTGTATGTTAGAAAAGGACAAGTCTCCTAACCAATTCGGTAAGTTGGTTCCACCATAGAATCTGATGGTTAGTTCCTCCAAATTCACGCAAGGTTGGAGATTGTCAAATACATCTTTCTCCTTTTGAGAATCATCGGCATCCTCTGCACCCCATGCCAACTCTAACACTTTGAGAGCTTTCTTATCCTTCAAATTGGCTTGCAAGGCTTCCCTAGCATCAACCACATTTTGCAGCTTCTGAATTGAAAGTTTTCCTCGAAGATGCGATAGCTCCATCAATTCTCCAATAGTCGACCCAGCAGATTTCCCCACAACAAAAGCACTCAATGTTCTCAAACTTTTTAGTCTACCCATTTGCACCGGTATTTCTTCAATTTCAGTTCTACTAAAGTCAAGATGCCTCAAGTTAACCAATTTTCTCATGTCTGCAGGCAATTTAGTAAGAGACTTACAATTTGTCAACATTAATTTCTGTAAATTTATCAATTTTGTCATATCTGTAGGCAGTTCAACGAGAGACAAACAATGTGACAATAGTAACGTTTGCAAATTGCAAAGATTGCAAAGAACACCAGGTAACCTTTTAATTGAAGTATAGGAGAGATCCAAGTACCGCAAGTGAATGAGATTTTCAATGGAATTAGGTAATACATTGACATTCTTATAAAGTGACAATGATAACACACGTAAACGTCTTAGTGATGGCACCAAATCTTGTAGAACCTGTTTACTTAGATAACCCTTTTTTGAATTTAAAGGGGTAGGCAAGAAGGTCCGCAAACACTTAGCCCCATTCAATGGCTTAAATTTAAGAGCAACATCAAATTCTTCCTTAGCATATGATAAATGGCGAACTCTTTCTACTTCAAGTGATTCCCACCCTTCCAACCTGGAACAAAACCCCTTAGACATGAAAACAGCCAAGTCATTGATGAGATCATGCATAGTGAAACTTGATTTCCCCGACTTTTGAAACAACGATCGGGATAACAATTCATCAAAATATTCCTTCGCTGCGTTTTCCATTCTTTCCCCATTCTCAGCTTGGGGAATTAAACATTCTCCCATCCAAAGAAAAACCACATCTTCTAGCTTGAATTCATAGTCTTTTGGAAAAATTGAACAATAAACAAAGCAGTGTTTTAACTTAGCAGGAAGATAATGGTAACTCAATTCTAAAGCGGGAAGAATATCACTTTTTTCATAAGGTAACTCCCAAATGCTGCTATTTAATACTCTATTCCATACCTCCGAGTCTAGTTTGGAACGTAACACACCGCCAAGTGTTTGTGCAGCTAGAGGCAACCCATTGCACTTGCGTGCAATTTGCTTGCCAATTTCTTCCAAGTTTGGATGTGCACTACAATTTTCATTTCCAAATGCATGTTTTGCAAGTAACAGCCAGCAATTTTCATGCGACAATGGTTCTAGGTACTGAATAGGAACATTTTGCATGACAGATGCTACATTTTTGTTTCGAGTTGTTACGATGACTTTACTTCCCCTTGCCCCTGAAGTAAAAGGAGTTTGGAGGCACTTCCAATCAAAATATTTCTCATTCCATAAGTCATCCAACACAAATAAAAATTTCTTTCCCTTAAGTTGTTCTCTTAGTTCAACTTGAAGCAAATTTAGATCCGCCGTACTACAAGGTTTTGAAGTGATTGACTCAAGAAGAGTTTTAGTGACCCTAATAGCATCATAGTCTTCTGAAACACAAGCCCAAGCTTTATGTGTAAAATACCCTTTCACCTTAACATCATTGTAAAGCAGTCGAGCAAGGGTTGTCTTGCCAACTCCACCCATTCCAACAATGGTTATGACAGACACATCATCCTCGCTTGCATCATCAGATAACAACACTTCTGTTAAACTTTCTCTGACTTCATCTCTACCATATACATAAGGTTCATGAGTCAAGGAAGTTGTTGGAGTTCTTTGTGAAACCTTCCTCCCAACATCTTCTCTCAAACCAAGAGCAGTTTTCAGTTTTACAAAGTCTTCTAATCTTTGTAACAAGTCTTGTATCTTAGCATTCATGCTCTGATAAAAATGATTACGAGAAATAGAGAGGAAGTTCCACACCTTATTGGTTAATTTGTGGGTTTGATCTTCGCCTTCGAGCTTGCATCGCAAAGCTTCATAGTTGATCTCATCCAGTAAGTCCTCCGCATCAAAGACAGCATGTTTGAGCTCGTCAAGCCACTCTCTTACAGCAGGGTTCTCAGTCTGCTTCTTCTCTGCATCATTGAGCACTACGTACAAGGTCAACAGTGTCATCTTCAGTTTCATGAGGAGTGGTTGATCGAGTTTCTTCTGTCGAAATAAGTCGATGAACTCAGGTGAAGTGATTCTGTCACACAACACCTGGATGGAACCAGAGATAAAAGCCTCTCCGATCAAAGCTCCAGCCATTTCTCTCTGCTCTGCAAACGATTCGGATGAAGTAAAGAAACACAGGTCTGGAAAAGTTTTTTGTGAAATACAGATAAGGTTGAAAACAAAGAAACACCTGGATGGTATTATTGTTTTTTATATATGTGTTAGTATATTTTCATATTCTACTAATGCGTACAACACAATAAGACTTGTTGGTTGACTTCATATTGAATTAGGTAGGACTTTTCATATTTTTATATTTATTTATTTATGTCAAGTTGTGTTATTATATTTTCACAAGCAGGAACCTGACTGGTAGGTAGCTGACATCTTACTAAAGAAGACAACAGGGGACTACTTGTTTAACCCACCATGTCTTTTTGTTAAGCATCGAATCTTCTGATAGGCGCTTCAGCTACAAGACTTGGTAATCTCTAATGATGGATCCCTTCGCACTGCAATATACCATGAAATTTTAGGGTCTCTTTAAGTCTGTTCATGACATGGTAAATAATGAGGCACGCGCATGTTGGAAAATTTGTAGATTTGATGTTTATATTGGACGGGACATTGCTTGATGCTAGAGTGGAAATAACTATTTTTCTACTTCAGACGGTATAAGGCAGATGTTGAAATGATGATGGAATGACTTAGTGCCTCTTTGACTTTTCTATGTTTTTCTTTTGTTGAGCGGTTGTCGACGGCCGTATTAAAAGACCACAGGATGAAGACATACAATCCAATGTCCTTGAAATAATTGGTACAAACATCCAGTCGACATACATTCTTTCCCAGCAGACCCATCAGCTACACTTGGTATAAAACTTCCATTCCTGGTTATGATTGTAAAGAATCTGAAGAAGTATTTCACATTTGAGATTCAAGTTTGCCCATGTTTATTGATGTTTATCAATTGCATAATGGTTGTTTTTCTTGTTCTCTTTTATTTTGCTGTCCGTTGGTATTTCAGGGAATGTTCTGGTAGGTAATATGTTTTTCTCAAAGATGTATCAATTTCACTGGCAAGTCTTAGCTTCTTTTGTTGTATTTGAAGATCTATGTAGTGTAAAATTGGTCATATTTCATGCCAACTTATTTGGAAGTTTCTCCAGCTGCATTATGAACATATTAACTATGCCTGATGTGTTGGATTTGTTGGAGATGTATATACTTGAGGTGAAAATCATGTACCAAGGTTAAGTCCAAGGTTGTAGAGGAATCTGGCTTCTAGGCAACCCATTGCACTTGCGTGCAATTTGCTTGCCAATTTCTTCCAAGTTTGGATGTGCACTACAATTTTCATTTCCAAATGCATGTTTTGCAAGTAACAGCCAGCAATTTTCATGCGACAATGGTTCTAGGTACTGAATAGGAACATTTTGCATGACAGATGCTACATTTTTGTTTCGAGTTGTTACGATGACTTTACTTCCCCTTGCCCCTGAAGTAAAAGGAGTTTGGAGGCACTTCCAATCACTATATTTCTCATTCCATAGGTCATCCAACACAAATAAAAATTTTCTTCCTTTCAGTTGTTCTCTTAATTCAACTTGAAGCAAATTGAGGTCTGTCATATTACAAGGTTTTGAAGTGACAGACTCAAGAAGAGTTTTAGTTACCCTAATAGCATCATAGTCTTCTGAAACACAAGCCCAAGCTTTATGTGTAAAATACCCTTTCACCTTAACATCATTGTAAAGCAGTCGAGCAAGGGTTGTCTTGCCAACTCCACCCATTCCAACAATGGTTATGACAGACACATCATCCTCGCTTGCATCATCAGATAACAACACTTCTGTTAAACTTTCTCTGACTTCATCTCTACCATATACATAAGGTTCATGAGTCAAGGAAGTTGTTGGAGTTCTTTGTGAAACCTTCCTCCCAACATCTTCTCTCAAACCAAGAGCAGTTTTCAGTTTTACAAAGTCTTCTAATCTTTGTAACAAGTTTTGTATCTTAGCATTCATGCTCTGATAAAAATGATTACGAGAAGTAGAGAGGAAGTTCCACACCTTATTGGTTAATTTGTGGGTTTGATCTTCGCCTTCGAGCTTGCATCGCAAAGCTTCATAGTTGATCTCATCCAGTAAGTCCTCCGCGTCAAAGACAGCATGTTTGAGCTCGTCAAGCCACTCTCTTACAGCAGGGTTCTCAGTCTGCTTCTTCTCTGCATCATTGAGCACTACGTACAAGGTCAACAGTGTCATCTTCAGTTTCATGAGGAGTGGTTGATCGAGTTTCTTCTGTCGAAATAAGTCGATGAACTCAGGTGAAGTGATTCTGTCACACAACACCTGGATGGAACCAGAGATAAAAGCCTCTCCGATCAAAGCTCCAGCCATTTCTCTCTGCTCTGCAAACGATTCGGGTGAAGCAAAGGAACACAGGTCTGGAAGTATGAAAACTTTTTGATATTGGAAATACAGGTAAGGATGATGAAAACAAAGAAACACTACGTACTCTATTATTGTTTTTATGTTTGTTTATTTCAATTTGTGTTATTATAGTCTAGGGTGGGTGGGTGAGACCCACACGGCCAATATAGCTAAGCACTCTAGTTTGAAACGATATAGGATTAAGTAGGACTTTATATGTATAAACTTTTTAATTTATAAAAATTTAGAAGGAGATTGACTACTTTCACTATCAATGCAAGGCAGATCCACAACCTCTAGCCGGATATTTATTTGTTTATTTATTTATGTCAAGTTGTGTTATTATATTTTCACGGAACCTGATTGGTGGCTTGCGTCTTACTAAAGAAGACAACAGAGGACCACTTGCACTCAAGCTGGAAGTGTCCTCTGCTTTTGGAAGAGTCTATCTGAAAATGATTCCAAGGTTTGAACAGGTGCAATTTGCATGAAAGATGCTACATTTTTGTTCCGTATTACTAAGAGGACTTTTACTTCCCCGCCCCTGAAGTAAAGCAAAAGAAAAAGAAAGGATGAAAGAACAACTTTACCCCGAACAATTCAAACATTATCAAAGTTAACCGGATATTTTTGTATTATCCACTAAGGTCTATTGACATTCATTACTTTTTTCTATGTCTATCTTGCCCTTGAGATAAATAATAGAAATTGTTCACTAGTAAGACCAGTGGTCAACGTAAACATTGACCCTAGAGGGCGTGCAAGGTAGCAAAGGAAGTGTGTGAGTTGAGTGGAGATGTGTAAGAACACTGAAGAAGATGGGAACCCTTATTTGGCATTGACAAGAAACCTTGCAAATGAAAAGCTCACCAAGAAAAGTCATGCTGTCCTGCAAAAAGACTACTCATTTGTTGAGACTTAAAAAGGACATGAGTTGTGATTAGTATAACAACCCTAAGAAACAAAGCAAAATAATAACAGAAATCAGATTAAGTTTTTCTTTTGGACGTGCAACCTATTTTCTTTCTTATTTTAAATATATATATTTCTATGTATTTTTCATTTTAAAATAAAGTAGTTGTGTTTTGAATTTATTTTTTTTTAAGTGAGGGCAAATTTGAGTTATTAGAAAATTAACAATAAAAGTCTTTTGCTTTATATGTATCCCGTGAGTTATTTACACTAACACCCCTCCCAGGTGTTCGGATTTTTGACAAAACCCTCTGCAATTTTGGAAATTACACAAACACCTCCTTAGGTTTTAAATTATTTTCACAAGACCCATTTTCGTTGATTTTTCATACAAATATTGATGATTTTATATATAAAAAAATTCTCCTAATGACAAAGTTAGCATTTGAGATTAAATTGCACATACATTAATTGACGTTGATTTGGTCAGTTGCACACATTTTTTTAAAAAAATAAACCATCACATTTTAGACGAGTAATCAACGAAAAGGGAATTTAAAAAAAACAATTTGAAATATCGGAGGGTGTTCATGTAATTTCCAAAACCTTAGAGGGTTTTGTAAAAAGTAAAAAACTTGAGGGAGTATTAGTGTAAATGAATCTATATCTTAGCCTATATTGGCTTTCTTTTACTGTGAAATTCTCTTTATATAGAATTTGGTTGTGTGTTTTTTGCTTATTAACAGTGTAACTAATGTTATCTTCTTCTCTTTTTTTTTCCCCTGTTTTCAAATTTTATTTATTCATAAGATTGTCAATTTATTATATAATCCGCACTTAATACATTCTTTTCTTTCTTAATATTTTTATCAACTAGAGGCATTTGTGATATTATGAAAGGCAGTTTCCCAACAATAGGGTTTTAATTGGATTGAAAAAGGCATTTAACGGGCATCTTGATGTGCTCCCAAGTGATCTTGAATTCAAGTTCCCATAATACCCATGTGTGTAAATAAAAAATAAAAAAAATCCTCGTGACAAAACAATTACTCTCTAATGAGTACGGATATGAATTTTATAGCATTAGCATGAAAAGTTTAAAAACAATATCCTTCTTGATGATATCCTTGGGATCAATATCCTTTGAACCATGCGACAAGTATAAATTCCCCTGTTGTTGAAGAAGAATGGGATGAATGCACACTTTCGAAAAATTGTATGAAATAAGATGGCTCCCATCCGTAGATTTTCATTCTGTGTGGCTGGCTCCTTTTAACAGTAGGAAAACAATATAAGAGAATAATTACTTACATCGTACAGTCATAAAGGTCCCAGCTGATATGAAAACTACCATTAATCTAAAGAATCATATACAGGCGTTCACTTTTTCTTTTTCATTATTTCCATGGTCGTGCCTTGTGGCACAGCAGCAATTCAAGGCCAATTTTCTGTCTGAAATGCTGATGCCGTAACGCATGTAATGTATGAATCTGCTTGGTCTGATCCCACCAATCCAAATTGGAATAAAAAAAAATTGAAGGTAATAGGATTCTAAATGAACAAGCAACAAAAAAAACTGAGCCACATTAAATCTCGCTAAAAAATAAATCTGTGCAGACCCTTACAGAAGAAAGCAGAGAAAGGAGTTTACAGTGAAGTAAGCAGCTAAGATGACATCTATGATTACACCATCAGCATCGACTCTGAGATCATTCATGGTTGCCTTCACACGTTGCTTTGACCTCCAAAAATGGGAAAACTTCTCAAGTCTGCAAGTATACATACAATATCTGACTTTGATTTGAGAGTTGAGAGTGAAATATCCAAAAACAGTACTTCGTCTCTGTGAGAGTGAGTTGAGAGCTCATATCATATAGTGACCTCATCATTTATCCTGATGCAAGGAATGTGAGATATCTTGGCCCAATCTTCTCCAGCCTTATTCTGATACCTTTTCTCCAGGGCAGAACATTGGGAGATTCTCAGGAAAGAAAGAGATGGAGGCAAACCCTCTTCTGGCAGGAATTGGATACTGTCACACCCACTAATATGTAGGCTTTGAAGAGAAGTGAGGTGTCCAAGTCCCTTACCATCCAAAGATTTCATACTTGAAAGTCCCCAGATGCGGAGAGTGCGAAGAGTAGTAGGGAGCAGCTGTTCCAGAAGCAACGTCTCCAAGATATCCCCACTTCCCCTACCACCAATGCTAAATTCTTCAAGGGAGACGAGTCCTTGCAAACCCCAGTACTCTCCCACTGATGAAGGCCTCAGTCTCTCACAATTCTCAAGGCGAAAAACTCGGAGATTGGGAGGCAAACCCCCATCTTCTGCAAATGACTCAAGATTTGGAAGACCCCTTATCCCCAAATGTTGAAGACCTGTGAGGGTGTGAATGCGTTCGGGCAATGACTGCAAATTCTGGCATTCACGGACTGTAAAGTCATTCAAGTTGGGAGCGGGCAATTCTCCCGGAAAACACACCAACTTTGGACAGCCTGTGATATACAAAGTTCTGAGATGACTGAGATTCTCAACAACTCCTTCTTCAACGGAAAGGGATTCCAGATTCTCACACTCCCAAATGTAAAGCGACGTCAATTTGGGAAAAATGCCCAACGGAAAGGACCTCATTGAATCACAGCTATAATATATCTGCAAATTGTCTAGCGAGGTCAACTTGGCCATCATCTGATGAGGTAGGAATTCTAATCTCCTACAATTGACTATCTCAAGCGATGCCAGCGTAGTGGGTAGACCATCTTCAGGGAACGACAACAGGTTTGGACAATCACAGAGACTCAAATGTTGAAGACAATTGAGGTTGGGCAATAGTATCTCTGGGAATGGTAACAGACCTGTTTCGTATACATCACCGATAAACAATTCTTCAAGAGATTTGTAGGAGTCCATTTTAAAACTAGAAGTAGTAGTAGTGGTGGCCCTTTGATCATGTAAAACCCCACACCCAGTCACCCAAAGCTTCTTCAAGCAAGGCATATGACAAGCCAAGGGCAAGCTTCCTCTAAGCTTCGGACAATCTTTTAGAATCAGCTCCTGGAGACGAGGAAAGTCTGGACCATATTCACCTCCACTTCCACTTCCACTTGGTACCCATTCCTCCCACTCTGCCATTTCCCCAAACTGCAGCTTCTCCAAAGATTGAAATGGCTGAATTGGGGAACCTTCATTTCTTCCATAGAACTCAACACCAATCGTCTTAACAAGTTTCATCCTTTTTATCTTGAGCTTCTTGAGAGCAGGTAGCCGCCCAATTGGTGGCATCAACCAACAGTAACTACAATCTTTGAGACACATGACTTGTATGTTAGAGAAGGACGAGTCTCCTAACCAATTAGGGAACTGGGTTCCACCATAGGATCTAATAGTTAGTTTCTCCAAATTCACGCAAGGTTGGAGCTTGTCAAGTACATCTTTCTCCTTTAGGGAATCATCTGCATCCTCATCACTCCATTTCAACTTTAACTCTTTTAGATCTTTCTTATCCTTCAAATTGCCTTGCAAGGCATCCCTAGCATCAACTACATTTTGCAGTTTCAATATTGAAAGCTTTCCTCGAAGCTGTGGGAGCTCCCTCAATTCTCCAATGCTCGGCCCAGTAGATTTACACAAGGTTCATGAACCAAGGAAGTTGTTGGAGTTTTTTGTGGAACCTTCCTCCCAACATATTCTCTCAGACCAAGAGCACTTTTCAGCTGTACAAAGTCTTCTAATCTTTGTAATAACTCTTGTATCTTAACATTCATGCTCTGATAAAAATGGTTATGAGAAGTAGATAGGAAGTTCCACACCTTATTGGTTAAATTGTCGATTTGACCTTCACCTTCGAGCTTGCATCGCAAAGCTTCATAGTTGATCTCATCCAGTAAGTCCTCCGCATCAAAGACAGCATGCTTGAGCTCGCCAAGCCACTTTCTCACAGCCGGGTTCTCTATTTGCTTCTCCTCTGCATCATTGAGCACTGCGTTCAAGGTCAACAGTGTCACCTTCAGTTTCATGAGGAGAGGTTGATCCAGTTTCTTCTGCCGAAATAAGTCGATGAACTCGCGTGAAGTAATTCTGTCACACAACACCTGGATGGAAGCAGAGATAAAAGCCTCTCCGATCAAAGCTCCAACCATCTCTCTGGTCTGCAAACGGTTCGGGTGATGCAAAGCAACACAGGTCTGGAAGTATGAAAGCTTTTTGATATTTTTTATGTTTGTTTATTTCAATTTGTGTTATTATAGTTTCATTATTCTACTAATGCGTACGACCAATAAGATTTGTGGGTTGACTTCAAATTGGGACGGCCAATAAAGCACTATAGACTGAAACGATACAGGATTAGGTAGGACTTTCTATTGTTTTTATTTATAGAAGTTTTGGGAGAGATTGACCCTTTCACCACCTACGCCAAAGCAGACCCATTATTTATATATTTATGTCAAGTTGTGTTATTATATTTTCACAAGCTGGAACCTGACCAGTAGCTAACGTCTTACTAAATAAGACAACAGGGAACCACTTGCACTCAAGCTGGAAGAGTCCTCTGTTTGGCTTCTGGAAGAGCCTATCTGATAATTATTCCAAGGTTTGAATAGGAGCTATTTGCATGAAAGATGCTATATTTTTGTTCCGTGTTGTTACGAGGACTTAACTTCCCTTGCCTCTGAAGTAAAGCAAAAGAAAAAGGAAGAAAGAAAGAACAACTTTACCCCAAAAAAGAGAAAGAGAGAGAACAAAGAAGGTGACTAATACAGAAGGGGCTTTTAGAATCAAGCCCAAACAATTCAAATATTATCAAAGCTAACCAGATATTTTTTAATCATCCACTTAGGTCTATTGACATTCGTTACTTTTTTTTATGTCTATCTTGCCCTTGAGATAAATAATAGAAATTGTTCACTAGTAAGACCAGTAGTCAACGTAAACATTGACCCTAGAGGGGGTGCAAGGTAGCAAAGGAAGTGTATGAGTTAAGTGGAGATGTGTAAGAACACTGAAGAAGATGGGAGCCCAATGCTAGACCCTAATTTGGCATTGACAAGAAACCTTGCAAATGAAAAGCTCTCTAAGAAAAGTCATGTTGTCTTGCAAAAGGACTACTAAATTGACCCTAGAGGGGGTGCAAGGTAGCAAAGGAAGTGTATGAGTTAAGTGGAGATGTGTAAGAACACTGAAGAATGTGTAAGAACACTACTAGACCCTAATTTGGCATTGACAAGAAACCTTGCAAATGAAAAGCTCTCTAAGAAAAGTCATGTTGTCTTGCAAAAAGACTACTAAGTTAGCATTTGAGACTTAAAAGGACATAAGTTGTGATCGGTATAACAATCCTTACCCTAAGAAATAAAGCAAAATAATAACAGAAATTAGATTAAGTTTTTTTTGGACGTGCATCCTATTTTCTTTCTTATTTTAAATATATATTGTTCTATGTATTTGTCATTTTAAAATAAAGTAGTTGTGTTTTGAAATTTTTTTTAAAGTGAGGGCAAATTTGAGTGATTAGAAAATTAACAATAAAAGTCTTTTGCTTTATATATATCCCAGGAGTTATTTACACTAACACCCCTCTCAGATTTTTAAATTTTTGACAAAACTGCGGTTTTAGAAATTACATGAACACCTCTTGAGGTTATAAATTATTTTCACAAAACCCATTTTCGTTGATTTTTCATCCAAATATTGATGATTTTATATATAAAAACATTCTCCAAATGACAAAGTTAGCCTTTGAGATTAAATTGCACATACATTTATTGAGGTTGATTTTGTCATCTGCACACGTTTTTTTAAATGAAACCATCAAGTTTTGGATGAACAATCAACGAAAATGGATTTTATAAAAACAATTTGAAACCTCGGAGAGTGTTCGTGTAATTTCCGAAATCTTAGGAGGTTTTGTGAAAAGTCAAAAACTTGAGGGAGTATTAGTGTAAATAACTCTATATCCCAGCCTATATTGACTTTCTTTTACTGTGAAATTCTCTTCATGGAATTTGGTTGTATGTTTTTTGCTTAACAGTGTAACTAATGTTATCTTCTTCTTCTTTTTTCCCTGTTTTCAAATTTTATTTATTCATAAGATTGTCAATTTATTATATAATCCTCACTTAATAAATTCTTTTCTTTCTTAATATTTTTATCAACTAGAGGCATTTGTGATATTAGGAAAGGCATTTTCCCAACAATGGTGTGTTAGTTGGATTGAATAAGGCATTTAGCATGCCCCTTTGAGTTTTGACGTGCTTTCAAGTGGTCCTAAGTTCAAATCCCCATGATACTCAAGTGTGTAAAAAAAAAAAAAAACATTTTCCCCATGACAAAACAATTACTCTCTAACAAGTATGGATACGAATTTTATAGCATTAGCATGAAACGTTTAAAAACAATATTTAATTCGCCAAGATATTTGAAGCTTCCTTACAGCAGTTAATAATTTTCATTAATCATACCATCTTTTTTCTAATCTCTGTGTTTTCACCTGTACGTTTACCTTATTTATGTAAAATTATAACAAAATATAATTAGAAACAGGTTTTTCGTTTGCGCAAATTTTAATAGAAAGGGGAAACAAAACGAAAAAACCTTTCCAAATTCTCAATCCTATCTTCTACCTAGACGACGAAGTCCTAGTTAATTACGGAATTGCCCCTTCCCCATTTCATTCAGGAGGCTCCACTTTCCAACTTCTTTGCGGAGTTGTATAGAATCCGCCTTCAAGGCTCTTTAACAATACAAAACCTTTTGCAATTTCTCCACCGACTCAATCTTTGCATCCCTTCTCAATTTGATACTCAAAATATCAAATTCGATCGGTTTTATTTTCTCCGTTCAAAAACCCTAAGATCCTCTCTCCGGTATTCAACCACCGAATTAGGGTTTCAGTTCTCCAATCCCAGAGGCACACAGAGAGCGAACGATAGCCATGGATGATAGCTGCGCTGTGTGTGCCGATACTCTCGAATGGGTCGCGTACGGGGCTTGTGGACATCGCGAGGTGTGCTCCACCTGCGTCGTTCGTCTCCGCTTCATCTGCCAGGATCGCCGATGCTGCATCTGCAAGACCGAGTCCGACGTCGTTTTCGTCACCAAGGTAAGGGCTTTTCCTTTATCTCGAGTTTTGATTCTTGTTTCGATTTACGATTTTGTGTTGAAATTTCAAATAATAATTGAAATTTACGATTTTAGCACACGTAGCAGCTCGTAAGTAATTGAATTTTTGTGTTTTGGAGAATCTGAATGTTCTTTCTTCTGGCTTTGAGGATGTTCTTTTAAATGTTACCCCTTTCCGCCGTTCCATTGATGTTTTACACTGTCTTCTTCTCTGCTTCTGGTTTCTTTATGATAGATTGTTTATATGGTGTGCTTTTTCTATCTTTGCAGGCTCTAGGAGATTATACAAGGATGATTAGTGACTTCTCAGTCTTGCCATCTGAAGTAAGGGAGGGTCGTGTGGGATCATATTGGTACCATGAGGACACACAAGCGTTTTTTGATGACGTGGACCACTACAAGATGATCAAGGCAATGTGCAAGCTTTCATGCAGCGAATGTGACAGGACGGAGGAGCAATCAAATGACGGCCCGAAGCGTCGGGGGAAGATTCGGAACGTTGAACAGCTGAAGGGCCATTTATTTCACAAACATAGGTTGTTCATGTGCTCATTATGTTTGGAAGGGAGGAAGGTAGAATCCATATACATGATTGCTATGATACTTGAGATTTATCGTATATTTACACTTTAAGCAGAGCTTTAGTTCTATTGTATCCTTTCGGTCTTCTTTATTAACCTTTTTCTTGTGTGTAATCCATTGGCTTCTTATGCACTACACAGGTGTTTATTTGTGAACAAAAATTGTATACTAGAGCACAATTGAATCAGCATATAAATTCGGGTGACTCTGAAGTGGATGGAACTGAGAGTGAAAGAGGTGGCTTCATGGGACATCCTGTGTGTGAGTTTTGCCGAACCCCATTCTATGGGGATAATGAACTGTACTCCCACATGTCTACCGAACACTATACTTGTCATATATGCCAAAGGTAAGTAAGCCGTCTTTTACTGAAAAGAATGCTATGTTTTGATTGTAATGTAGAATAAGTTTAAGCTCATATGAGATCCTATGCTGATCAATGCAGGCAGCATCCTGGACAGTATGAATATTATAAGAATTACGATGACCTGGAGGCAAGTTATTGGTGATTTTGTTATTTATTTATTATTTATTTTATTTGTGGTGCCTTGTATGAGTTTTGAATATTTTTTTTCATGTCATAGATGCACTTCCGCCATGGTCATTTCCTATGTGAAGATGAGTCCTGCCTTGCCAAAAAGTTTGTTGTCTTTCAATCTGAGGCAGAAATGAAGGTGAATTTTTAGAACGTGAGATATTTTCTGTGTTCCTGCATCTTGTAGCATTTAATTATTTTGACTTTGCTTTGTTTTTTATTTTTCAGAGGCATAATACGATTGAACATGGAGGGCGTTTGTCTCGTTCTAAGCGTAATGCTGCTTTGCAGGTAAGTATAAGTATTCTTTTTTTTTTTTTCTTGTCTTGCATTTTCCATTTTACAGCTAGGCTGAGTACTTCTCTCATCTTTTTTATTTATATATTTGTTTTGTTTTGTGAATTTTCTTTTATCTCATATAATTATTATTTTTATTTTGTAACAGATACCAACCAGCTTCCGGTATCAACGAACAAGTGAGCAAGATCATCGACGTGGAAGAGGTGGAAGAGGTCGTACTTTTCGTCGTGATTCTTCTGAAAACCAACTTTCTATGGCTATTCAAGCAAGTTTGGAGACAGCTCATGCTGAAAATACATTCCATGATCCTTCATCCTCCAGTGGGCAAGTTGCTCCACATCTTGGAGATATAAGCGATATTGATCCAATTGTTGACCCATTTGAATCATTAACTACAACGGATATCGAAACATCTTCAAGGTATCGTCAAGCCTTGGGGCATAGTTCTAGTAATGCACCTTTGGAGGAATCTTCCTTTCCTCCCCTCTCAGTGGCACCTAGCAGCAGTCAATCAAACCCCAGATCTGACTCGGATGGTTTGCCTAATAACACCATGGCAGCACATCTTCGGCGCAAGAGCAACCGCAAGGTGGCTGTTAATAGCTCTGGTCAGGCTTGGCCAGCAGCAAGGCGTGGGCCTGTAGTACAACCTACTAGTTCAGCTCAGGCTTGGCCTACAACAAATGTTTCACCTATAATATCTGGTGGTTCTGGTCAGAACAATGGGCCCAGACCATCTAGTTATGCAAGTTCTGCTCAGGCTCAAGTCGAGACTAGACAGACAACAGTTTTGCGCGGTTCTGGTCAGAACAATGGATCCAGACCATCAAGTTATGCAAGTTCCGCTCAGGCTCAAGTTGAGACGAGACAGACAACAGTACATGGGTTATCATCATCTGGTTCTTTGTGGGATTCAAGCAAAACCAAGTCTGGTAGGATCAGCCACTCTACATCAGCTCCGAATTTGGTTGAAAATGGATCTGTACAACCTTCGGTTTCAGATTTTCCTCCAGTTTCTGCAGCACAAGTGCGTAAGTTTCCCACAACTAGCCAGGCTGTATTGAAAGTGGGGGATGTTCAAACTGCTAATAAGTCTTTGGTGGAAAAGATTCGTGCCGCTCTTGAATTTGACGAAGACAAATACACTACCTTTAAAGACATATCTGGACAGTATCGTCAAGGTTTAGTCGCCACAGAAATATATTTAGATTTTGTGCGGCAGTTTGGCTTGTTGCATCTTGTCCTTGACTTGGCTAGACTCTGCCCTGATGGTCAGAAGCAGAAAGAGCTGATCGATGCCTACAATGCTAGTATTCGAAACAATATTGCACAAGGCGATGGATGGTCTCAGGGCAATGTCCGCTTGAAAGAGGGTAATAGTTCTAAGAAGGGTAAAGGGAAGTTTTCAGAGGCTGAAAACAGCAACGAAGGCATGCCTTTGAAAACACTGGGTAATAGTTCTAAGAAAGGTAAAGGGAAGATTTCAGAGGCTGAAAACAGCATTTCTAAGAACACACTAGCAGATAGCTTTCTTAGCTCTGTACAGGAACTTCAATCAAACTACAGGCCTTCTGAAGAAGCAGTGGAGGTGTTGCCAAAGGATGGGTACCGTGCTGCCAAAGAAAAATCAAAGCTGTTAGTTAATGAGCACCAAGAGGAATTAAACTCCCGCAGTCAACCTCTAGTGCAACTAAGGGGCGAAAAGGATTCCCAGACAACTGGTGGTGGACCTAATCCAAATTTAGGGAATGGGGGTGGAGGGAGTAAGCAGCGTAAGAAATCCTCAAAGTTTCATAGGGTCCGCCTGGGTGATGGCTCTGCTGCAGCGCTTTTAGATCTCAGAAATTCTGATCCGCAGCCAGATGCTGGTAATGAGCGATTAGATGGGAGCAGTAACTCAGCTGGAGGATTGCCTGTTCAAGGTGTCTGGCGAAAGGGAACTCAGAAACTCTTTAGTTAGAGGAAAGAGCTAAGTTATCAGATTTTTTGTTAAAGTGTCCTGCGTTTACAAATGGAACCAGTAGTGCATGGAAAAGAGTTCAGAGGTGGTCCTTGTGTTTAACCGACTGGGTTTGCTTGTCGTGGCAATTTTGAGGTTTTTCTTGTTCTTTTGAAGGATCTTGCCTGATTGGGCTTATATGCGTTCACATGATCACATCTTCATATTTGTCATCATTATGCAAGTGTTCATATATACTCTTCGGAATGAGAATGCAGAGGTTTGAGACTTGATACAGTTTTGGTTAACGTTTGTGTCCTTGAAATTGGCGTGATTTGTGTTATTTATATGCAAAGGTCCCAAAACTATAATTAACCGAAAGTGCAATGGGTTGATTTTATGGAAGTGCTTTTGTAATATGGGAAGGCAAAATAAATAAATTTAAGAATTTTTTTTATGTGAATTTTTTTTATGGAAAGCCTCTCCAACCACTTGTTTCTGTACTTTGCAAATACCTTAAGTGTGGTTGAAACTGTGAAACTTTTAAGATTTGTTGCCTAATAAAGCGATTTGCAGAATGTCCTACGGCTACCAAATTACGTGATCCGAATTCGATGTGGTAGACATAGGATGAAAGTGTTGTGTTATTTCCTCTTCTAAGAGAGTCACTAACTGAAGATTGCAATATCTAGAATATTAGAAATAATAATGATAGCAAGATAAAAGGGCATGAGAAACTAATCAAAGCCCTTAAGCAAGAATTTTTAGCCTAAAATTATAATTATGGAAGAGCGAAACAACAACTTTTTTTTTTTTTTTTTCGCAGGCAAAATATGACGAGTTAAAGCATGAGTAGGAGGCAATAGTAAGAAATTTTAGAATTATTAATTTAAGATGTCAAGATTAAACATGAAATTATAGGAAAAAGAAAAAGAGGCTAACGAGCCCAATAAAAAAAAATTATACTCAAGAAAAAAGAGGGGCGACAATTACAAAAACTTTTGTCTTATGAAATGAATACACCCTCGGTATGGGCTGAACCAATAATGTCCCGAAAAAAATTAAAGCAATGCGGCTTTTGAGTGGGCCCTGAAGGGAAGAAAACGACATTCAGATGCT